TTTTCTTGACTGTACCAGGCAAATATGTGTATCCAACAGGTAAATAAATTCTTGTGTTCAGCAGTGACAGAATTCATAAAGCTAAACATGAAATATATAGCTAGCATACCAAGAATTTTCTGTAACATGGGATGCTTGGATCTGCATGGATCTATCTTTTCCTTTATCAGCTTTGTTGTGTCTTCCAGTTCTGGCACATCTATCTCGTGAGAGGGAATGATTGTGGTTTTGACTGCTGAATTGAGTCCTTGACAGTAGCTTGCCTTCCATACAGAGAAAAGCTCTGCTTTGGTCCAAGAGAGCAGAATTGGATTTTTGGGAGCTGTCGTCTTTCCTGTTTAGCACTGAAAATGCACATGGCCATGCTACAGGATGGCAGGACCAGACTTTAGCCATCCTGCTCTGGGATAAGGATGTAATGCTTATTCCTGATTATTTGAGAGCATTTGGATGTTGATATTTTTTCAGTATAAGAAGTGGCAGTTGTTGATCTCATGACAAAAGGGAGGTTAGGTGACAGAGCACCTGAATCTTAATGGGTTTGGGGCCAAGCTTCATTCGGTGATGCAGCTGAGAAATGCACTGTGGTGTTTAGAATTGCCCTGCAGAGGTCTTTAAGAGAGAAAACCAATAGTAGGTGCTAAGTCATCTGTGAGATGCAGCACTCTTAGCAGGCTTGAGCTTTAACGTGCAGCACTGCTGGTGTAGGTGCACACACCACACAGAGTTAAACATACGAACAGCAGGCTCACACTGTGCTCACTACAGATGTCTGAATGAGTGAGTGCCTGTGGGCTGGAGCTGCATGTCTTGTGGCTTTCACTCTGCTCCATTGGGAAGTCTTCACTCCTTTTGTTTTTATCCTTTTCCAGCTCCAGCACTTTGGAGCACACAGCTCCCATCCCCTGACCTAACAGCTCCATTGAAGTGCATTCCAGCCCCATGATTTCATGGTACCAGGCAGAAATCCCCTGCCACGCTGCTATGCTGCCCGCTGCTTCTCACGGAGTGAACAAACAGGGAACATAAACTCTCTCCAAAGGAGCAATGTTCTTTGTATATTTTTAGTGCAAGAAATCCAAGATTCATTTGAGGGTGTTTTGTGTGGGCTTTTTTTAATATAGACTTCTGCTAACACAATGGAATATTTCATGCCACCCTGTTTGCTGTAACGTCTTGTGCTTTATGTTGTTAAATGGAATCAAAGGAGTTAAAGATGAAAGACTTCTAGTCAACTGGTCCCTCAGCTGGGAGCCAGTATGGGTTTGTTCTTTGTAATGGATTTGCTAATGCTTTACTCAGGTTCAGCCTAGCTCAGTTTTCATTATTGGATTTACTTATTTCTGTGAATTCTCTACTTCAGGTTAAGTAATTGCTGAGCTTAGACTGCATATAATACTGCTACTGTTTGTTTCTAATGTTTCACTTGCTATTTATTGCCCTTATACTGAACAAACCTTTTGTAAGTATTTGTTTACCATTTGAACATACAAAGCACCATTAAAGATGTCATGCTTGCCTTCACAGGTATTCTCTTTAATGGATAGAGAACTTGATTCTTTCTTTAAATAAAACTGTGTCCATTTGACATTGTACATTGTGTGTTTTATTTTCAACATGTAGCATGTCACCAGATGCTAACTTATGTAGTATTGCAACAGACCTACCTTTCATTAGCTCATTGTTAGCCTTTGAATATTTGGAGTAAGTGCAGTATTTGAACATACAGTTTATGCTGAGACACTGATTTCTTGTATTTTCTTTGTGAAAAACATTCTCAGACTGCCTGTCTGTTTAAATGTCACTATTGCATTTTTATGTATTGAATGTATTATAGTCACATTAATGGAAACAATTTTGCCGATACATCCAGTATGTTCATAATAACATTATCTACAGACTGGACAGTGATCCAAGAAGTTGAAAAGGCAAATAATGAACATGTTATGGGAAGCATTCAAAGCAAGGACTGCAGCTGCAAGGGAACTGAGTCTGCCTGACTTGTATACCAACAAAATTTTTAGACAGAACTGTTCTCCACAGGCTCAGGGTGTGGGCACTTTTTGGGCCAAGGTATTGGTACATGAGCTGATCTGTGCTGACTGCACAGGAATTCCTGTGCCCTGGTATAATACACAGTTACCCCAGTGGGTAGAGCTGTTCCTGCACTGAAGTAGCATGAGCTTCAGAGCTCCAGGAAAAAGAAGCAGTAACATCTGGAGACATGTGATGCTGTCTTTTACTAGACTGAAGTTGGAAGATGTGCAAGTTTCTGCACTATGCTTTAACTTGGTCATCCTAAGATACTTTAATTGGTGTGGGTCCGTAGTGTATTTCTGGTACATGATAACATTTCTCAGCTTTTATAACCATGCAGGTAAAAAACATATATTAAGTGGCTGGAGCCAAGGCAGTAATAGTATATTAATAGTAATCATCTTAACATGGCATTCTCTGTGCCTTCTTACAGTGAGAGTTGTATATCAAGAGCTGTATATAAGAGCTCTTTGGGGAAGCAAGGGTTGTAAAGCGCAAGTGGAGGAAGAAAAGAATACAGGAGGGATGAAATTGTCTGATAAGAAAAAGGAGAGTAGGGCTGTAAGAATTATGGTCTGTTTAACAGGCATATAAATGGGCACCAGAAAGCAACCAGTACTGTGAGGAGAAGTAATTGTGGGAAGGAGCATCAGGATTTGAACTTGGTGAGTGGAGATACATGAAAAGTGGACATGAAAAAAGGTTAAGTGCTCTGACAAAGAACCAGCTGTTCTGGGATCCCAGCAGTGGGTAGAACACCATGTTACTGGTCAACTATTTCCTCCCTGACTTCTTATTGTCTTAGTTAAGAAACATAGGAAGCAAAAAACAAATATTATGTCTGTGAAGTACCCGTTGCCTTGCCTATCAATTGCTGCTCTAGCTGTAGTAATAGAAGTACAGCTCTGAAGTCTAGTGAATCCCAAGTTTCTATAAGACTTCATCTCATTTATACACTTTGGAATGTTGAATGTCTATTCTGTAAGAGAGCACCTGGCTCTTCTCAGTGTTAACAGGAAGCTGCTGCAGTCCTGGGCCAGGTAGTGGCTTAGTGGGAGGTGAGTGGATTCTGTGAGGGGTGAGAAGTGCTCTGATGTAGGTTCCTAGGAAAACAAGGAATCAAATACCAAATGAGAGACTGAGTATCATAACTCCATTTTTGTGTAATGAAGAAAAGAGGCACATGGGTGGTCAAGGACTGGAAGCTGGAATTACTGTTGGAAGAAGCGGTGTGCTTTTCATTGCTTCAAGTGACTACCTTGAAGCTCCTGTGCTGGAGCTTCTCCAAGAGCACTTAGAAACTGACTCAAGAATATACTAGAAGTCAAGAAGATATTTGGGATGGGGTGAAGGGGTTGCCATCAAGATTTAAATGTATAGGCATTTATGTGAGCAGGAGAAATTAGCATGGCAGCTAGCCCAAAGCTGCTCTTGTCTGTCAGCACAATGACTTAAACATTGGGTAAAAAAATTGTCTTGATCTGAAAAACAAGCTTACTTAGAAGAAAAGAGAAATTTTCAGCAAATTTAGAAAAAAAATAGTCTAGGCTTTTCTGAGCTATAGATCATGCTTAAAAGTAATGAAGTCCTATTCCACTTGGAAACACATTTTCATTAATTTTTCTCAAGTCTGAGTCAAAATTAATTAAGTCAATTTGAAGTCCTTTTTTTAATAGTTAAAAGTAATGGCACTTGGCCTTGACTTTTACTGCCATTTTGTGTGGTTTAATAGTTGTATGTCTTTTTTTTTCTCCCACACATTTGTAAAAGATTCACAGAAAAGAAAACAGACTACATCAGTAAATAAATTCTTCCTGCTAAGTTATAGATGTTTCTCATAAAATTTAGCAGGCAAAAAATTGTGCAGCCACAGGCACAATGAAGTTGATGATCCTGCTACACGGCTGAGTCTGAGGATTTGTATTGTATTTGCTGTGGTGGGGGGGACCCTCATTTATGAGTTGAGCTGTCTTGCATGCTCTTGCAACTTGGCATGTAACAAGCATTTTCACATAAAACATTGCTGAGCTACTTCTGAATATGGTGGAATTCTTTGGGAAGGCCAGGGAGGTAATTGATCATATGCTGACAGCTCGGGGCTCTGAGAAAATGGTCAGATGGAAGTCTGAGATGCAGGAAAACAAACTTTCTAAGATGGTAACTGTCACTTAGCCAAGCTATACATGTTTCAAGCTTTTTCATCTTTGCTCACAACCTCAGCTTCTTAGTCTTTTTTTGGTTTTGCTGTTTCTCTGTGAACTCTTTTCCGATGTTGACATTTTACTGGTCCTGATGCATGGATAGTATTCCAGGTATGATCTTGAGCTATAGCCATATTTCTTTGTAGAGCTCTTGTAGAAATTCTGTTGCTGCCAAAATGGGGAGTTTCAGAACTTTGATGATCTCTTTCATTATTCTTTGACCTTTGAGTCAAGAAGTAGTTTTCTTTCAGGAACTGCTAAAATGTTCTTTGCAGCTAGAAAAATAAGACTTCAATGTTCATGGGAGTTCAGATGGCAATCTACTGGGACATTGCATGAGTTTACAACAAAAATGTTTGAATTTCTCTGCTCTGTGACCCTAAGTTTCTATATCAGAGTGGATATAGATACTGAAGTGTGGATATAGAAACTAAAGAGAAACATACAGCTTTGGTGCAAAAGAAATGAAAGAATCTAGCACTTGGTTTCCAAGACCAACTTTTTGCCAATCTTGTTTACAGCTGAATTTTTTTGCATATGCAGTCTGACAGCTTAAAGTTATGGTAGTTTTCAGTCTTTCTGCTGTGAGATAGAGTATTTTAACTGACTTACTGCAATTATTGGTTCTGAGGTCATTTATACATCGCTACACTGACAGGAGAGGAGACGGGCATAAACGAGGTTTTTTAAATTACTTCAAAATATAAAAGAATATGGGGGAGGGGGAAAAAGCGTGTTTATTTTGCCAATGCTTTGTCACAGAATGTGGTCGTGGATCGGATTTTCTCGGGTATCCAGCCAACTGGGACGCCTCATCTGGGCAACTACCTTGGAGCCATTCAGAACTGGGTGAATCTGCAGGAAGAGTGCAGCTCAGTGCTCTATAGCATTATGGACCTGCACTCTCTCACCATGCCCAAGGAGCCAGCTGTCCTGCGCCAGAACATCCTGGACACCACTGCTGCCATCCTTGCCTGTGGGATTGACCCAAAGAAGTGTCTCCTCTTCCGGCAGTCACTGGTGAGTGCTCCTGTTGTGTTGTTGGATTTGTTTCTGGTTAAGTGGCTTTCCACACATCTTAATGAATGAGTGTAGCGTTGCTGAACTCCTTTATCATGTTTGTGTTGGTGGTCCTAGAAAATGTTAGTAGTGTTGGATTTTAAACTTATCCCTTGATGCAGCTTTGAAATTTTGAATGGTGCAACCATGACTGAGAAGCCCATTTAGGGGTAAGTACACTGTGAATTTCTGAAGCAGAGCTAGGAGTTTGTACAGGTTATGACTAATATACTTCAAAGACCTTTTAGAAGACAACTAATTTGTATCTGTGTCACTTTAGTCACAAAAGGTTAACTCATAAATGCATAAACGTGGCCTGTGTAACCATAAAGCTAAGGAAAACATGTTTCTATGCTTTTGCATCAGCTCTTGCCACTCATTCTACCAGCTGCACAGTAATCACAAAGTAACAGATGATTAACTTTTGTATCAGTTCCACCTTGATCATCAGGAGGTTACATCTTTGGACTTTCCCTTCTTTGCTATAACCTCATTTTCATGCCGACGCTTTTCCATCTGATCTGGTAATTCATATATAAACCATGTGCTCCTCTTGACTACCCCAAGGGGTACTGGGCTTACCTTCCCACTTGGTATATAGCTATCACATGTTATATTTTCCTGGAACACAGCTTAGTTTCTTGCTCAATAAACTTTCTGTTACTGACTCTAAACTGGCAAACTTCTATAATTTCCACAGACACAGATGTGTCATAGCTTCTGCTCTTGTGAAGACACCCATAAGTGGGTGTCCACCTTGCAACAGAACTGCACAGGTGATGTGCACACAGGATCTGAATTTTATCAGTGCAAGCTGAGATGGTGTTGTATTCTCCCTTTCAACACGATTCTTTACAGGCAGAGTTTCCTGGGGTTGTTAAACTGCAAATGGCAATCTATATCCCTGGTGAATAAAGAATTGATGAAGACAGATATACTTTCTGCTTCATTTTTCCTCTGTATTAAAAAACCAGTCTAAATAGATGAGCTCAGAATTCTAGTGGAAATACGTTTAAATAAATTCACCCCATTTTTTTCAAATCTGTTTATCATTTTAAATATGTTACCAGCTTGGGTTTTAATTTTCCTCTACTCTGACTTGTCAGCCTCAAAATGATGAAGTCATTAGCTGGAATAGTTGCAAGGTGAGTTACAAGCCAATGATGCAGTAAAAACCAGTCTAGAGAGGTTTATTTCTTGTTTTCAAGCAACTGAACAATTCAATTAGTTACAGCATAGAATCAGTGACTAGATACACAGAGAGGACTCTTCAGCATGAAGGATAAATGCTTTGCAGATTATGATTGGAGAGGAATAAAGTGAATGTTTATAAAACTGCAAGTGATATGGAGAAATTGTTTTATCCACTGAAAAATGTGAACTGACAAATATCAAAACAAGTTAACACCTGGAAGATTCAACACAAGCATAACAATGCTGCATTTCACAAAATCCACAATCGGGCTACAAAACCCCATGACACAGGATACAGTGCATGCTGAAATTCATATGAATTCAGAAAGGGACTCGACAAATTAATCTGAAAAATTGCTTTGGGACTGTTGCACATCTGAGCAGTCACCTCTACAGGAAGTGGTGAAACCACAGATGGGAGAGTATCCATGCTTTTCTGCACTTACGTTCTTTTTTTTCGTTGGTTGCTGTCAGAGATGGATATTTGATCTGGTCCAGTGTTGCTTTTCTTATGTTCCTACTGGTCTAAAAGCTAAACTAGTGCTGTTCCAGGTCTTGCTAAAACCAACACTCAGGCTTCCCTTGAAGCCAGCAGATTATCAGTGAGGGTCTTACATTGCACTCAGCCACAGAAAGTATGTTGTATCTTTCAAAATAGAACAATTCAGAGATCGAATCTTTGAACCCCCAAAGAAAAAGTGTCAGACTCAGGAAATGATGGCTCTTTGTGCAGTGCTTCTACACTACCAATACAGTCAAAAACCAATGAAAACCTAAGATGGCTAAACTTGAACATGTTCAGCTTTATCAAATGAAATCAGTTCTTTATTTTGCTGTGTCCTTATCTGTCCAGATCTAATGGTCATTGTTCTTATTAAATCTAAATCGTTAGATTAAATGTTTGAGCCCTGTCTGCTGTCTTGAATGTTATTCATACTTAACACACAAATATCCATACAACTTTCAGAAGTGGCTGATTCTTGCACATTTTTGAAAGGTCATTGTCACACTGCAGTCAGAAGAGCTGTTACAGTTGTTTGTGAATACAGACTGTTCCAGCCCTGGGTCAGGCTGAAGTGGTTTGTCAGCTTCCCCAAACCGAGTCTGTACAAGCTGTATGAAGTGGTCAGGTATACCCAGAGATGCACTGTGATCTGTTACATTTACATAGGCAGCACCAGATGTTTCTCTGGAAGCAATTAAAAGGAGTATCTGCACGTAGCTCTTGATGTGAGGAAAGGAGACAGGAACCTTGCTAATGTGATTATTGTTTTAGTATGATAATGAAATAGTACATTATGGAATGTCATAATATCGAGATGATTGTTCCTAAAAATGAAGGTGTAAGATGGATTACAGCTATTGCTAATCAAGAAAGTTTATTGCTGGATTTTGATTGGAAATTTCTCAGATTTCAAAAAAAAAGGAGCTGGCCTCCTTTTCAGCCACTGTAGCAGTCTCCAAGGGTGGTCTAAAAACACCCCATTTTTGTTTACAAACATTTGGATGAGGTGTAAAGCAAAGTGGCCAAAACTGATTGTATACTGAAATAGGGTGTGTACTTCCAGAGGTCAGCAGGAAAGCAGTGGAAATCCAGCCACAAATAGAAAACTGGATTAGGTACTTAGTTATGGACAGAGTCATTTTTTTCAATAGCTGATCAAACTGCTAAATAAGAATTCTCAGTAGCTTAGCATGCTGTAATTATTGTTGTATTTTGAGTTCTATCTAGAAAATTACCAAATCTGTAGATCACAGAAATGTTTCTTTAATTAATCCTGAATGACATTTTTGCTCATTTTTTTTAAACAAACATCATGCAACAAAATTATTGTTCATGAACTTTTAATCACGAAAACTCACCACAACTAATGACTTTTTTTGTACCTTGATTCTGTAGCACTAAAGCAGATTGAAATTCTTGCACTACAGAAGTATGCTAGTAGTGGTAAGCCCCACTAAGGGAATTGCTCATGCATTCATTCATGTGAATGCTGTTGTGTCCTGTCACTTTCTCTGGATTACACTGGGCAAGAGTGGTCTAGAATTGCTGAAAGGGGCTTGGGTTTTATTGTTCTTTATTGGTTTGTTTGGCTTACTCTTTTTGTATTTTGCTGCTTGTGTTGCTTCTCTGGAATATGTTGCCCATATGTGAAAAAATATAATGCTACTAGGTTTCTCAAAAGGCCTGTGCCTTTTGGTAAGGGTTTCACTTATTTTACTTACTGAGGCTCTTTTTCAAATCTCGAATCCAGAGATACCTGAAATACCTGCCTTGAGAGTTTTCATGTACTTTATCAGCCTTTTCAATACAAGCAAGAGACAAAAGGCTGAACAATATGAATCACAGACTGCTGGGAGAAAGTGTGGAGAGAACAGATACCTCTCGTGCTTATACTAGGTCCAAGAGGTGCTGTTATGATAACGATACAGGTGAAGTACACTTGGAATCCCAGAACAGATTTCAGTGATGTCCTTTCCTTTCAACTAAAATTAAATAGAAGTGACAGAAATTTTGCATAAGTAAGTTTTTATTGTATTGTTTAGAGAGCATATGGCCTATTTTGTATTGCATTTACAGCTAAACTACCTATAAATGGAAAGTGCTAGTTGGATGAAAATTAGTTTTGTATGCTTCAGAATTTACCATTTATAGATTATATTGTTTTAAAACTTGTACAAACAGTAAGTTAATGGCTGGCTGTATATTTGGTCTTAATGCATTGCAGTTCAACAAATATCTCCCACACTTCCATTACCATATAAAAACCTGAATTCCAGCCTAGGGAAGTAGTGGCTACAAAGAACAAGTGATGATAACTTGAAAATATTTAGAAGCAAGAAGGATCACAATGAATAATTAGGGTAGTGTTTGGAACCACATTGTCTGTGAAGGGTTATAAACAAGCACATTTAATTAGAATATCTAGAAAAACAATTGTGGTGTATGTTGGACAGTAAAATGGCCTCCCAGTGAGAGAAGCTCTTTCATTACAGCTTGTTTAGTTATATTTTCTCAAGTAGGAAGTTATAGAAAAGTGACAGTTTTAGTAAGAATAAAAAATAAAAATAAATGCATCTTTCAAAATATGCATTTTTATTTGGAGTACAGCTGCAAGATGTATGAAACCCTCTTAGAGAAAATAATGTCAAGATATGCTTTAAGTGGCTGCCTTTGCCTACGGGGCATAAAAAAGAAGTTGTGGAATAATGACTTATACAACATATCGTGAGAGTATTAGAAGAAACAGAAAATATATTCCTTAAATTGTACCATAACTGATAAAAGCTGTAACAGTCATCTTTCATAAAACTTAGATCTTTTATTAAAACCAAAAAGGACTATGGGGGGGTAAATAAGGAAGACAGTATGCAATCTGCACACATGGTAAACTTATAAGATGTAACCCATTTTCTCTGATTCGTGGTGGGTACACTACACATTTCAGTTCTTACCCGTAACCATCTTGTATCTCATCTGCTTCACAGTCAAAACAATATTGGAAACTTATTTTGCTTTTATGTGGTCTCAGGCTGTTCTTCCTGTCCACCTATCTATTGTAGCAGACACATGCTAAATGTCCCAAGAGAAACTAAAATTCCATCAGAGTTGATTCAGCAGGCAGTGCTTGATACGCTGCATGAACACTTCTCTGAGGAGTCCTGTGAGTTTCTGGACAACATAATGTTCCATTTCTGGGCGGAAAATTGCAGTTTTCATCCTTCTGGATAGGGTGATTTATTTTCTGAGTATAATCAGCTGCAGT